TTAACAAAAAATAAATAAATGGTGTATGTGTATATGTATGGATATATATCTATAGATAGATGTTTTTGATTCTATAGGCATACTTTTTACAGCTTAAAGCAGTACATTTCATGCCATAGTCCTCTAGGAAAATGGATCATCATGTTCTAGAGCTGTCTTTGTCCTGCACACCTGATTTCAATTACTCATTATACTCAGCATGCCATCAATTGCAGTACAGCCCTCGTCATCATTTATTTACTTAAATCAAGTGTTCTTCATCAGGAAACAACTAAAATATGACACAGTCTGCTCGCACAGCCTTGTTTAGGGCCACATGTTCTACTGTTTGCACAGATTTGTACTCCAAATTCTTGTTTCTGAAATTAAATTATACAGGGGTTGTGTCCTTTCCAATAACAGCAACCTGTAAAAAAGAATGGTTTAGATGCATTCATATTAGACTGAAATAAGTGACAATTACCTCAATAAATATACTTAAATTGTTTCTGCAGTTTAAGTATATTAACAAAACTGCATTTCCCTTAAGTCTGTGAACACCATTTCATCACCGTATTTAGTATTATCCTTAGTCTTGGCAAAATTCATTATGAGTTTTTTGTTTTGTTTACATCAGTTTAATGTTTCTTGAGGAAGACTCTTTCTTAAAAAACAAAAACCCTCAGTTAATAACCATATACATCTTGTAAAGGTTTTGTTTGTTATTCGACCTTGTAAAATGTAATTATTAATGGAGGAAATTATAATTCCAGGTTCAGGTATCATAAAAAAGCTTATTTCAGGATTCAGTTTTGTTTTTTTTCTGATAAAACCAGCGATGACCCTCCCACCTCCGCACAAATATACACACACACACACACACACACACACACACACATACATACTCTCAGACATATCCATTCTAAAGAAAATGTAAATTTACTCTCATTTTCATATTTCACAGCTCATCTTCCGTGCAGATGCATGTCAATGTGACCTTAAAAATGAAAGACTAGAACAAGCTGCTATGTCATTCGCTCCTCCAGGGCCCAGCAAGCTGTTATCGGGCACCATTGTTCAATAGGGTGGCTGTATACATGTCATGTGAGATCCAGTGATATTTCTCTTTAACACAGAATGACAACCTGCTAGGGTTAGACGACCCAGAGATCAATTCAAACAGATTATTTCCATTAATTGTCGAAGCTGATTTACATTTAGTTACAATGTTCAACTTGAATACTGTAGTGAAAAGCTGCTCCAAAAAAACATTGGAGCGAAAAACTATTTTCATATGTAAAAAGCTCTTAAATGAATTATGCATATAAAACATTCAAGAAATGCCAACCAGCAATAGTCACTTAAAAACACACTTTAAAGTGATGCTTTTACACCAGTTTTTGATGTTTTAAAAAAAATTTCTGCAAGGGAGAGAGCAGTTTTTCCAATGTAGGGTTCTTTGATGGGGATATAAGTAATAATCATCTTACAGCTGACGATGGTATTAATTTAGACAAAGACAAATGGGTATAGGCATTACAAGTGGCCTAATGTCTAGTAAGGGCAGAGCAGATCATTTGCCAACTTAAAATCACTCAAATACCTACAAGCTTTAAACAAGCACTGCTCATTTAGTTTTTCAAAGTTAATATTTTATTTATGAGCTGTTTTTTCAATACAATAAAATAAATTGATTTAGAATAATATATACTTGATTTGATTTTTTTTCTGTTTTTTTCATTTGTTTAAAATTAAAGATTATTGCAACCAATACCACTTTTCATTTCCATCTAATGTAAAGGTGTCAGAGGTGAAAATGTTTCAAGCACATTGCCTAACATCTAGCTATTAAGGGTTTTGATTCAATACACCCAAAAAAATATTCAGCTCATTACTGTGATGCTCAACAACTTCATGACTAGGAGGAAATATGGTGATTATATTTTCTTATACGTGTTGGACCAGGAACACATCAAAAAGTTTCTGGGAGCTGGGCTTTGAAGAATAGCTGAGCAGGCTACAAGTTTTTAAGACGGGATCATCATAAATGAAACTGTTTTACTTCCAGGCTTCGTAATGGATGATATAGACTTAATATTTCATTATCATCATTTTTGGGATAAAAATAAAAACAACATAGAAATGAGGGCTATTAAAAAATCATTACAAAGTCACAGCTACTGAATTAATTGTTTATAATTTCTTTTTTATGTGTTGACTTCAGTCATGCTTTTATGGAGCAAGTTTTGGAAAATAAAGATAGTTAAGACAACACTATTAATAGCAAAACTGTCACTTTTTGGGTTATTCAGAATTAATTAATTCTTATCCACAACCCTGTACCTGCTCCAGAGAGGGAACGCCTATTAAATGTGTTTGAGAGCATGTTCAAGCCCATTTCTTGTCGTGAATGCTCTGTTTACAAGTTGCTGTTTGGATCGCTCATACAAATTTACTCTCCAAAAGAAGATTTGCGATTTTTCCACTATTTTCTCTTATGATCCTTTGCCATTTTTAAAGAACCGCGGTGAGAAAGGCGAGCTTTAATGACTAGCTGAAACCGTAGCTCACCATACATATAAACCTGAAGATTCGCATGCACATAAAAAGATAACTACCTAAGGGGATGAGCCTTAGGCAAACATAGTACCAGAATGATTGACAGTTAGGAGAACCACTTAGTTAGATGATCCACCCGGAAAAAAACTCCTTACCTATACCTTTAACTAATTTGAGATTTCCCATATCAAGGTACAATAGAATTCTTGACACAACTATGTTTCCATAATAGAAATAAATAGTACTTTAATTACCCACCCTGACTTAGGCTTACTAAACATTTCCTTGCTCTATTTCTCTGAAGAATTTTAGCAAAACAAGATACTTTTGTGATCCACAAGCAACAAGGATAATTATTATCAATTAGATTTTAAACCAAAGTTGAAAAAATTATTAAATGTTTTACACATGTTTATAGTGGACTTGGTTTTAAAATTTTAGTTTTACTTTTGGAATTTACTTTACCAGCTTTAACAGCTAAAAGCAACATAAAGCAGTTACCAAGAGTTGCAAGTAATATAATCAATTAAGAGGTAGCATGACAAAATTTCTCTCTCCTAATCCAAACCAAAGTGAATAAAGGAGGGATCTCCTGTTTCATGTTATCAGCACAATTCACAAATCTCATGAGTCATTTAAAATGCAAATATAGTAAGATCCATGTTACATCTTCATAGGCATATCAAACATAGCATAAACAGAAAAAACATTAATATTACCATTCTGTATTATCCCCTCCCAGTCATATGTATGTTTTAAAAAAACAGTTTCCTTTTCTTTTCAAAATTGATACTTTCTTTTATTTTCAAAAAGCAACAGATTACACAGTTAACTTTCAGCAAATGCAATCCTAACTGAAACCGTTACTCACAGTCGGGACTTCAAAATGAAAGACTCACATACTTACACACTATCTATAATATACAAAAATGAATACATAATAAATATTAAAATGGCCACAAGAGAAAAAGAAAGTAAGTCATTTAAAACAATCAGTAAAGATCAAATGTTGGGAAAGTAGAAACAAGACAGTATGCCTTAAATGTCTTTTTTTCCCTTTTATGTTTTTTACAAATTGTGCAAGATTTCATACTAAGGCTCTGGTCTTGAAGTGAAGGTTGTCTACCTCACACACAGTACACATCCACTGCAACACACACATCCTCTCTTCCATACACACACTCTCTCTCCCTGTGCTCGCCGCACTCTGTGGGGTGTAGCAAACCATTGCAGAATAAAAAATGGGCTACTCAGTGTATGGCCTGTGATGCTCATGGGAGTGGACCAGCTTTTAAAAAAATGGACATGCATTAAACGCTGATGTGACAAAAAAAGGGGGAAAAAACTCCCATTGCATTTACAAAAAAAAAAACTTTTCTTTTTCTTTTAGGACTGAATGGAAATATAAAAAGAAACCATGACAATATCATCACCATTAAGGCAAGAACACCCGGAGTGGCATTGGCAATACTGTCACAACATGATAGTGTTTAGGTACATGAATATGATGAAACATTAAACTACATCTTCAATGTCTTTTTTTAAGCACAAGTTCTTTTTTAAAAATCAATCACTTTGTAATTCAAACCCATACATTGCTCCATCTTTTTCTCCGTAAAATCAGTTAAGAAAGTAACAATGCGAGACACTATGGACATATGGATTGTAAAACTACAAGAAATCATTTCTAGTTTTAAGTTGCAACTTCAAAAAGCACAAAATCGCAAACCCCTATCCCCCTTATGCCCACCCACCTGGTAAATGAAAAAAAGTAATCACTTACATTAAAACCATCTTATCCTCTTGTGATGGTATATCCCAACAGTCACCATGTTTTGCTTTACTTAAGGTAAAGACAGTTGTGTTGTCTGTTGAAAATTAAAGCATTCATTGTTCACGTTGAGGGAAGAAATAAAACAAAGAGAGAGGAAAAAGTTGTCCTTGCAATGCAGCTGTCAACCATCGACCAAAGAAAAAGCAACTTTACATCTTCTTATTAGTGCAACTCTTACTGTAAAACATTTCCAATGATTCCTTGAGAGGTATTGTTTCTTCGTTTTGTGTTCATTTTTTTTCTTTTTTTGTATTTCACACATCACAGAGTAACTCATCTTCAAAATTTCCAACAAAGGAGGTTTTGTATTCATTTTGTCAAAGGAAAAATCTTAAACTTTTTGCTTTTCTGCATTGGCATGGCCTTCCACAATGTTTGTTTACTAGAACATAAACACGGGATAAGATCCATACCTTCTCTATATTCCCATTCCATTCGGTTTCCACGTTCAGTTGGACTTTTTGACTTGATCACCCAGGCAGAGCCGCATAAACGGCAGTTCGCCCTCTACCCTCCATGAAGGGTCGTGAATAGGAGGAGCAAGAGAAAATTGGAGGTTGAAGGGGAAGGATGTAGAACAAGAGCTGTACAATTGGGACAAGCCCACATCAAGATAAATCAGGGTAATGACTAAAAACCCCAGAAAAACCATCATATAACGCAGTAGGGTTCCCTTGGTAACCTGGATTTTCTACAGTAGAGGAGGGTGGTGCTAAAGCAACGCCGAAGCTCCCTGTTGGAGAAGATGCAGATAAAAGGATTGACCCCAGCCTGGGCAAAGCTCATCCACACAGCTGCTGTAAGGTAGCCTCCGGGGACCGCAGGGCCCCTTGCAAACACACGCCAATAGCAGGCAACCAGGTAGGGCCCCCACAGAGCCAGGAAGAAAAACGTCATTATGTAGAACATCCTACTAATCCTCTTCTCCGTTTTGAACTCGTCCAGTACTAGAAGACGTCTGCGACCGGCGGCGTTGCTGTTCTGTCGGATTCCCAGCAAAGTAGGGGGGGTGGGTCCCCGGCCAAACCCGGCCAGCCAGTTGGCTGCTGCCTGCCCACTGGCACCTGGCCCGTGAAAGGTCCAGTTCTGGCTAACGGCAGGCACAAACTGGACGGGCTTCATCTTTCGGCGGTCGTGGACGAAAAAGATGAGTTTGAGGTAAACCAGCTGTGTGGCCAGGAGGATGAGCGCCAACAGTAGCATGAAGCCCAGCGAATCGTTCGCCCTGAAGGACCGGTGCTGAAACGTGCACTGATCCTCCTCCCGGATGAAGGAGTACGTCCCGACATCTAGCACCGGAGGAAAAGCCATAGCCACTGACAACGTCCACACCATGCAAATGACAGCTAAGCACGTCCAGAACGTTAGCCTCTTGGTGTAGAAGCGATGATGGGCAATCGCCAGGTAGCGGGTGACACTTACACAGAAGAGCATAAATGCCGTGTGGAAACAGGATAGCACCCCAAGGAAGGCAATCACTTTGCAGGTCAGCGTGCCATAGGTCCAGGCAGATCCATTCTTTACAGAGGTAAAGACAAAGGGGAAGCAGATAGCGGAGCGCAGGATATCCGAGGCACACAGGTCCAGCAGGAAATAGTAGGGTGCCCGGTGCAGACTTTTGTCCTTAACCAGCAGGATGGAGATCAGGAGATTCCCTACCACACCAACTCCAATGATGAAACCCAGGGAGGTCAATTTGAGGAATGTTGCAAGAGGAGAGACATTCTGCAAGATGGTGTGGTCCCCTGCATGGCTATAGTTCGCCATAGATGGAGGAGGGATCATAAATGTACTGGGATAGCTTCAGCCAAGTATCATGATCTAGAGGTGGCAGGGGGAGGTGTTTGATCCATTTGGTGGTGTGCTTTGAAGAGGTTTCCAGGCGTACAGGCAACCTCCTCTCTAAGGCATCCTTTGTTTCTTTGTCTCATCACACCTGGAAAGGATCCCTGAAAAACATCATCCACCCATCAGCACTGAGTCCCAAACAACTGCACATTCATAGTCAATAAAAAGGCACCAGTTTTCCTCCTAACAATAGGCTAATAATTTGTTTTACATTAAACATGATGGAGAATTAACCTGAATACAAGATGGGATGAGAATCAGAGACATGCAGCGGCTGATGCTCGATGAAAGTGACATAAATTCCCTTTCATGACGCCTCGGAATTTCCAGAACAAAAGATGGCAACAGCGCAGTCCAGCCTTTCCTGAGAAACGACGCATCTTTACGCGTCGGAAAGCAGAGTTTTACATTTGCAAAGGTTTATGTTGCATTTCCAGTCCGCCCTCCAACCCCTCCGCTTTATGAGTGAGAGGAAGGAGGGGGGTGCGTTTTCGGCGCAACTGTGAAACATAAAGACAAATGCAGACAAAAATAAGCAGCTCTTGCTCACACCCAACATTTCCTCTTCGGAACAGAGGAAAGGATCTCTTTATATAAAATATACATTTACGCACAATGCAACATAAACGTTAAAGTGCCTCTATTTCTCTATCATTATCAGAGGTTAAAGGGATTATACGGTAAACACTACGCGCATTAACGCATCTACTGAGCCAAACCACCATTTTCCTCAGAATCTGTGTTTTATTTTGTCTTATAATTTTTCTCTCTGATGGTTCCTCTTCAAACGGATCGAAACGGATCGAAAAAAATGAAAACAATAAGCTGCCTTTTATTAATAATATGACATACTTTCGCATTGTTTACAGCTTTTTTCGGTTATAAAAGGCATTTGATTCTACTTACGCGTTTCATCTGCGTCCTCGTAATCTTTAGGCACCCGCAGCCGATAGATTTCCATCTATTGTTTTATTATTAATATAAATAACAATCAAAGGAACGGAATAATAGTCTGTGCATCCCACTGTGAGCGGATCCGCGCCTCCATTAGACTACAATCATTTCCAAGGCTCCGCTATGAATTGGCCAGAATTGCAGCCACCAGATTAGAAGACATGGGCCACAGGAAAAAAAAAAAAAAAAAGATGAGAAGACAGACATCCGATCAAACGATCAATCAAACTCCTACCTGTTGATAATCCCAAATCGTGTTCCTCTGCTTGGTTATTTACATTGCGCACGGTCGGGTTTTTTTTAGCAGTTTTTTTTTTCTTCTTTTTTTTCATTTAGTGCCTGGCCCCCCCTTTTTTCCCTCCACGGCGAATATCCTACAGTAAACGGAGCGCAATGCGCATGCGCCCTGCATCCCTCCTATTTGTGATCCAAGACGCGTCTTGTCTCTTGTTGCAGCAGCAGCAACTCTGTCTCTCTGACGGTAACATCTGCTCAACAGGGCCACTGCTGGACGGTAACGCGTTACTACAGTATGGAGGGAAAGGATTATTGCCTGGATTTGATACAATGAGCAGATAAAACGAGAAGTGATCATTACTTTAGAAGTTTAAACTAGTTTTTTTAGACCCTGTGAATTTTTTTTTATTTAAAAGATCTTTATTTTTTTTACACTTTTCCCCAAACAGGATAGTGTTTTGCAAAAGTATTCTTATCCCCTTGATTTTTCAACATTCGGGTCTATGGATGAATAAAATACAGATGGGTGCAGGAAAGTATTTATTCTCTGCCTTTTTTTTTTTTTTTTTATTACACAATGTTATTGCAACCATCTGGCTTTAGTAGCCACATAAATATAGTCCACCTGTGTGTCATGTAGGTTATTCTCAGTATAATTACAGCTGTGGAGGGAGAAGAAGCAGATCCACAGCCAAGGTGGAAGAATGTGATTGGATAATAATTATTCAACTCCACAAATCCTTTCAATCAAAGGGGGGGGGATAGAAAAGAAAAAAATATATATATTTTTCATAAAACTGCTATATAATGTGGTATTGTCATGACTTTATGTTTTAGAGTTTTAAATATTGGTTGATTCAATTCAGTTTATTTATATAGGGCCAGTTCACAACACATGTCATCGGAGAGCACTTTACAGTTCACCAGATCATACAGTCAAATTGATTCAAAGTTTTCTGTCTAAGGAAAACCAGTTGATTGCATCGACTCATTGACTCGAATGCAATCCCTCACACCAAGCATGCTTGTAGCGACAGTGGAGAGGAAAAACTCCCTCTTAACAGGAAAAAAAACTCCAGCAGAACCAGGCTCAGTGTGATCGGCCATCTGCCTAGGACACCTGGGGTTCAAGTTACTGGGGTTACAATTCAATCTTAAGATGACCTTTTCTCTGTAAGGCATATCTTCTACCCAATAAAATAGACTTAACACTTTATTTCCTTTTTAAATATTTCCCATAGCTATTATTTTTTATTTTGTTTTTCCAGCTCTAGTTGGATAGTTTTAGCCATTCTTATGTTGATTTTCAGGTTTATATGCCTGCAGTGTTCCCTCTTTAGAACATATCATTAATATCTCCTATTGTCTACACTTCTGGAGCCATTTTCCATTCTGCAAACAACTTTCTTTTGTTTCATTTTGTAGTCCAGCTGTTTTTTTTTTTTTTTGCTTTACCATCTGCTTTTATCACATTTTTTTCTTTACTTGCTTTTATTCATCTTTTTCTCATTCTATTGTGTTGTTTAATTCATGTAAATCACTTTGAAATGTCTTTGCACTGAATTATACTATATCAATATGATTGCCTTGCCTTCCACCTTTCTCTTTGCCTTCCTCTTATTATTATTAATATCCCATTTTTATATTATTTCTACTTCAGACTCTGATAAGATATATATTATTATGGTTGTTCCTCAATCAAATTAGCTTTGCTTACATATGAGAATTTCCAGCAATCCAGTAACACAGAAAACTCCCTAATCATCACCATAAGCACATCATTTTCGAGGTGAAACCTGGTTGTGGCATTGTCATGAGTGCGTGAAACAAACAACTTCAACAATATTGTTTTCATTAAATCATGTTAAGACATTAGGCCCTATCAAAGTATAAACATTAATCTAAGTGAGAAGCCGAGGCATCACAGGACTTAAAAATTAATTTAGAGACGTTTGATTCCAGCGAGGAATTAACACAAACCAGGCCATTATTTGTAGAATTATTATTTCATCCTTTTAGGAATTTGGTTCCAACATGACATAATGTACAAGACGCTGTCATTTCATGCTACTGCAAGGGTTAAATCTCGTTGCCTGGCTAGCTTTGGTGTTGCATGGGTTCCTATGTACGTGGGACATATGCATAATTCAGAAGCACTTTGCACTTGCACAGTTCATTCTGCCTGGTCAGCATAAGAAATTCATAGGATCTGATTTCTCAACCATGTACGGCAGACCTGTGATGTCACAAGCATCATAACCGTGGGGGAACAATGACTCAATCAGCCATATGCACTCACACTCAATACATGCTGGGGAGAATGCAAGGAAAACGACTTTGGATGGAGTACTGTAATGAACAGGAATTAGCTTTTATCACACATAAGGGAAATGTCAACTTGTAACTATAACTTCCATCCTGCACAAAACTTTTTTCATTATTGTTGGTACATTTTAAAAAACCCACCTGACTTTTTTTGTCAGCCTTGTTTCATCAAATTCCAAATTCAAAAACCTTAAAGTGTCCGTTAAATTCCTTTTAAAACCACATATTTTTGCATGTCACTTTAAGGTTAGGTAATAATAGTGTGAATAGGCAAAGTAGACATTAAGTTTTACAATTCTACTCCCAAATCATCAAATACTGATGCTTGGCAAAATCCCAATTTAATTTTTAACTCCATCCCTATTCCTATTAAGGAATAACATTTCTACAACATGAAGCTGCTATCTCTATGTTATGGGATCAAAATAATGACCAGTGTTGGTTTTCCTCTAACAGGCTTTTACAAACTCATTAAGACCAACATTTTGGATTACATAACTAAAAATAAACCACTCCAGCATAGTAAACAATAGTAGCTCAATCATTTTTAATACTTAAGAGCGATTTGTTGACCTCTACCGTGGAACGCCATTTTGTAATGCTCTGCCGGAGCTCTTCAAACATACAACAAAAATGCTCTGTTTGTATTTTTTGATTAAATATGCTTCAAATATCAAGTAAAAAATAAAATCATGTTTTTCTAGCAATATTGGGGAAAAACCTCAACCCAAAAATATGTATCTTGCCCCAATAAAATGCCATTTGCATCGACATTAAAACATGTAAATAAAACTTAAACACTCAAAAAACATAGCCTTTCTCCAGGAAATGGGAAAGTTGGGGATTTTGTATAGAAATGATTGAATGAACACATACAATTAGCATTCATGGAAGTTTGATTAGGGAAGTTTATTCTTTACAAAAGGTGTAAATCAAATCTTTCAAATGAAATGTTCAACGTAAAAGCACAAAATGTAAGAAAAATGATCATTTTAGACAACGTAAGTGGAATCCGTCAAACAGTCCTTTGTTTTAAGGAAAGCAGGCAGCAGTCTTTTTGTATAAAACAGTCTGGGCCATAATCCCAATTTTGCAGTCTGCACACTTCCTGGTTGTTTCTCTCCTCCCCTCCTCGGTTTCACGTGGTTCTCCCAGCTCCTCATCTTTGGAAATATACATCAAATAAGGCACATTTCAGAGCAGAACTTGCAGGAAATGATCCGTGGTTTAAGCAGGGGGCGCATCTACCTATTGGGAAGTTTGACGCAGCATAGTGTGATTAGTTCAGGCTGTTTGATCCTCAGAGCGGCCCGTTGCGCTTCCGCGCGTACCAACCCAGGCAGGCGCAGAACCCGACCACCGTCAGGATGGTGCAGAGCAGCAGGGCCAGTGCGTCGCCCGCGTCGTAAGCCTCCGCTGCGGGGATCAAGGAAGAAAACACCAGCAGTAACACCATCACTGCACCGCCGGGAGTTCTAACTCTAGGAACCATGTTGATCACTTTCTTTATCTGTCGATGTTGACTTTCGGAAAGCAGATGCGCCTGCGTCACAGTCAGATGACAGCACAGTTTTACTTCCTGGTGCGGTCAGCCAATTGCCTCGCTTGTTCAAATGAAACAGATCATGTGGATTTTAAACGCCCATCACATATCTTCTGAATTAGAGGATATCAGGGGCGGAGCTAGATGGGGGGCCAAATCTCTGGCCACCCCTACCACCAGAGGCGTAGCCAGAAAGTTTTTATAATGGTGGCAAGGCGAAAAACTATTTACACTGAGGGGTGGCTGAAAGTGGAAAGGTGCCAGAACCTCAGGGACAATCTACCCTTCTCCAAAAGGAAAATTAAAAAACTCAACATCCATATTATACCTTTTTTTTTGTCTTTTTTCTTATTTTCTGGTGTACATGTCCACAAGGAAAAAAAACCACTAAAAACAAAATCACTCTGAGCAATTTCTCTGTCCTTAGATCCATAAAAAGCTTCAGCTCACTTCAGGAAATCACAACACAGCCAAAGAGTTTTAACATTAAAAACACTGTAGATATTTTGTAAGGAATCTCCTCACCTTTTTGTTTTTGCGGCCACAGGCTGTGGAGATTTTTCCATCGGTGGCCATGTTGTTTTGCTTCCAGGTCACAGGCGAAAACACCAATTGGGTGCATATTAATAGATGCATATATTTAAACAGCTGCGGTTTCTGGATAAAAATATATAGTGAGTAAAATTCTTTCAGGTTTGACTTGTGGGGCAGACATCTTTTCTATTTTCATTACTTACCTACTTTTATTAATAATCCTTCTGCATAAAATTGATATTTAAAAGCACTAATATCTACATAAATTGATTACTTAATAAGTTTAAGTAATATAATGAATAAGCTAATAAAATAGTTATTTATCTATGATTTCACTGAAGACTTCTAAATTACTTGCAGAGACACATTATTCTCCCTTTACCCAATAAAACACAAAATCTAGCTCTGAAAAGAGCAGGAATTCTGTACTTATCATCTATATTGTTAGCATATTGTTAAACACAGTGCTTTTTGTTGTCAATAAATTGTTAATATATGAAAATTTTAAATGATTTAAATATTAACCTTGATAGTATCTTCCATATCAGGAAACAATTTTCCAGTACAAATGATTAATTTTGCTATTTCTACAATTTAACTTTTTAATCTCCATGCCTAAAATGCCTACTCTGCTAGGCTCTGAGTTGGGACCAAATACGCCAGCATCTTCCTCCATGATACAAATTGTATGGCTTGTTGAACCATAGGAGCTTGATTTTTGCAGCATCTGTTTGTCTCTGCGTGCTCTTTCTGTGGCGCTCTGCCTGTAATTAAATCAGCTCTAGCCAAAGTAAAATATTGACCTTGTAAGGCCGTCATACCTCTGTACCTGCACTGCTTTGCAGTGAGGAGATGAATGGCCACACGCAGTCTCTACACACTGCTTCCACGTTTGAAATAATCCTCTCCCTCACCGGCTCCTGCTGGCAGTTTGGCAGACAGTTTCACGTGATGCGCACACTCATAGAAGCTTTTGTGAGTTGTGTCTGATCTGCATGCCTGCCTTCAGCGGAGCACATGGCAATTATGAGGTTCTAAAAGAGATGTTTTGCAAGAACAAATCAGATAAAAATATGTTGCGTTTGATATAATATTTGTTAATCTGTAAAGAGTATAAAAAATGTTTTCTGAAAGATCTGGCACTATATAAACTCTGCTGGTGCGCATGTATAAAATTGTCTTTATCATTATATTCCTGACAATGCAAAGTATTTCTTTTGGGGGAAAAAAAGGCTTTATGATAGCAATAAAAGCTGCAAAGGTCATTTTTCATGTAGGAAGGAGAATTAATGAATAGGAATTTATGATAGAAATAATAAATCCTTCCCAGATTTCAAAGTTCTCATTTCAATTATGCATCTCCATTCTGTTATGGCAAGCAAATGTTTACAGTTCTATTTTTCTCTCACCTGAGCTTTAGTCTAACATTAATAAAAAAAACGTTATGCACAAGCCCATTTAAAAAGATTATATATCAATCTCATTTAAGTTTTCTGAAAAATCTTCCTGACAACAAGGACATTTGCAGCTCTACATAGAAGATAAATAACCAAGAACCCACGTGATTTGCAATACGTAGGCATATTTGGACATCTCAGAGCTCCACAATGACATGTACATAGGTGTGCGATTATCATAACTGAAAAAAGAAGCCTAGCCAAAGTGCAAACCATTACAGCTCAGTATATACCAAAACAACCAGCTTTGCTCAGGCTGTTTTAAGTTGTAGACATAATCAATGCTATCGCCGCCTTACGAGGAAAAAAGTCGATAGGATTTAGGTCTTGGGATCAACACTTAGTTTAAACTCATTATTCATGTTCTCACATTAGAGGCACATTCATGGACACTGATTTTATGCCAGATGTTCAGTTCATTAATCAGCTGTCTCATTAACAGAAACAAAATCATAAAAGCATCTGAAAGCACATGGAATTCATGATTATGTGTTTTTATAGTAAAGTAGAGGTAAAAGTTTGGGAGAATTATGGATGGTTTTGAAAAAACAGCTTAAAATGAATACATACAATACATACAAACTCTGTAGTTAGAGTTGTTGTTGAAATGCTTTTCCTTTAAATCTACTGTTTAAAATAGGAAGTTCAGCAGCTCAACTACTAACATGTATGTAAGCCAAAGGGATTGTGTATACAGCTTGTCTAACACAATAACTTTGGACCTCAAAGTTTTTTGCACTCATCACATACTTGTAGCAAACAAGTCTTAAAACCGAAATTGTGTTTTTGCCTTTTAATAATCAAGCAAAAGGGTAACATAGAAAAAGAAATTGGTCTCAAGACTTTTCTGAAAAGCTCAACTAAAAATATGTGTAATTTTATAATACTAAATAACTGAAATTCTGATACAGAAAATAGAGCAGGGATGTTCTTAAAGGCCATATCTCCCAAAAGAAGATGTTTTGGCTCTGAGTCTGATATTTATCTGTGTACCACTGGCAATTTCTCATGGAACACTAGGGAGGCAAAACATTCCTGTAAATTTCCTAAAACTTTTAGTAAAATATGCATTTAAACACATCATTAATGTAGTCATTAAACTGCATTAAATATGCACTAAAATCTTTCTGATTTCATGAGCGTGTTGCGCATTATAATCAGCTGTTTATTCCGTTCTCAGACGCGATCCCCCCTTCACTCTTGAGTAGCAGGACGCTCTATGAGAAATCTTTGTTGAGGTTTGAGCCTTCATCTATTGAGTTAAGCAGCAAGAAAATAGAGCCCTAAATGGATAACATGCCAAAATACGTCACTTTCAGTGAGGCTAAACCTCTTAGGGGGTCTATGGAGCAGGGGAGGGTCATGAAGCTGGCTGCTCGATGCTGATATGTAAAAATACTTAAGGATTTTTTGACTGACAGTGGCCAGAAAGCGGAGAGATGTTCATTATAAGTCGAGACAGAAAACAGAGAATTCCTGTGTTTTTTTTTTATTTCAAAGTGCTTCACAACAGCTATTTTTAGCGTTGTAGCCATGTTTTACTATGTGTTTCAAAATTCGTTAATGCAAAATGTGATGTTTGGACTTAATTAACACCGTTGAATCTCCCCTGTTTTAGACAGCAGGAGCCACTACTGCTTTGTATACCTTAGATGGCCGTATATTTTTGGATTATTAGCCAGCTATAAGCCTCACTGATTGGCAAGGGTAATTTTTTATGTAGATTTGTGAGGCTTGTAGATTAGAATGAACCTGTCCCAGCATTTAATTCCCATTATTCCTGGCAGAGTTCCTGAACCTTTAAAAGAGAAACAGATCAATACTTAAAAAAGTAAAATACCACAACAATCTCCACACCTGCCTCTGATCACGTGCTAAGATAAAGGCCAATAGCTGCTATAGGTTAGCCCAAAATAGCCATTGCATTCTTTCAATTCTCTAGTATTAAGCTTTGAAGATTTATTTTATTTTCTTTACATCTTTTAAACTCTTTTAAAAAATCTCCCCGTCATTCTGACTCCTAGGTTCCGCCTTATGCATGTGATAAGTGTCTGTGGATTAAAAGGGCTGTGGGAAAAAGTTAATGTTTTTAATATATAATAATTTTGTGTTAATTTAATAATAATTAACTTTTTGGGAGTTGCAATGTTCATTACCATTCTCTTTTAAAAAAAATGTTTTATTGATTGTTTACTCCCAGTCTTCCCTGCCTGATTTATATGCACTTTGCGACTCCAAACCCTTCCTAATGACAAATTTTATTTTGTATTTTCACTCAAATGGGATATGTTTTACTTTGTAACCGTGTCACTCTTCCTGTCAGACCCATGAAACTCACTGAATTGCTGCAAAGTCTGCAAAGTCTATTTCAGTCAGAGCTACGCAAGCATCCTATCTCTTTTGGTTGCCTTCTAAAGAAAAATAATGCTCTGTCAGATGGTTACTTCAAATATTTTTATTGAAACTGTGCCAAACTATTTTAGAATTAATACATACATTAACCTATATGTCAAAACTTTCTGGCAAAACATTACCTTTTATCTTCTGCACTGACAGTTTTTAACCGCATACCTCGTGAAATGCTTAAATTCATTTTTAGTCAATGCAGAGGAATATAGGCAACGGGAAATCGCCAAGTCCCTGTCTATTTTTGACAGCTCTCTCTTGAGATTCCCTAAGCTACTACTGCCAGATTAGTTTAACTAGCTCAGTGGCCAGACTGGTCTGTCAAAGGGACTCTGCCATTCTATAAACATATTTGAAGTTACAATCATGATCTTCATCAACAGACTACACAGATGAAGTTTTGAGGTGCCCTTTTCCTTTTAAAAACATGTTCAAATAACTTTTTAATTGACCATCAATGACGGATTCTCTGACTGATATTAAAGCTGCCGTTAGCCGGTCACACTCCGTACCCAGGCATTGTACATTCATAGACATGACCCACTCTGCTCGGGCACTAACCCCTTTACTACAAATTAAAAGTTTTTTTTTTTTCTTAAAAAAATGACTACAATGATGAAGTTTTGAGGTCTATTTTCTCTTTTAAAAAAACATCTCAAAATGGTGTTTTGTGTTAAAATAATTTCTGGGTAATGACCATCTGACTGACGGATGTTGCAGTTGTGTTTAGCCAGAGCTCCCACTCCTCATACTGACTTAGTAAGCAGCACACACCAGCCTGCCCTAATGACCCGAGGCTCTGCTGCTTTGACACAGACTTCAAAGTACAGATACTAGGTTGAGGGAGTATTTTCTCGTTTAAAAACCTCTTAAAATGTATTTCATGTCAAGCATAAGGTATCACCAGTACTTGAGTTGAGTGGGGATGGGGGAGGATGGCATCCCCCTTCTTTAAAAAATAAACAAAAACATCCCCCTTCTTAAATGACCATCCCCCCATACCATCCCCGGTGACATTTTATTACTGAATGTGAAAAGTTCTACTATATACTATATTAATTGTAATAGCAACAATATTGCCCTTTCAGCATTTGGCAGGCTGTGGGCTTATGAGTAGCCAGAGCAAAATAAATAAGATCAAAGAAATGGCCCACCATGACAATGAAGCTGATCCCAGTGGTATATGTTTCCTCTGTATTTGTCCTTAACTACGTAGGGGTAGTGATAGCCATTCCAGTCCAGGGACTGATTGCAGTTCTACTGTAAGGTGCGTTGATCACAGTCAATGACTGGCATACCTGACATTTGACAACTCTACCATGCATATTGCTTTAGGTTAACAGACTGTATTGATTAGGCCATGTATCCTTAAAAAAATAATAAAAAATTCCACAATCCCTTTTTTTAGGCAACTAGACTACTGGGTATCGTAAACAACATTTGTACATTCATCTTCATTGGCTACTGCAGCTGTACACAAACCATACCTCAAGAGCTGAGAAAGTACTGAGTCTCTAGAGGAACCACAGCTTCTGGAAAGTAAATTTAATAAGGTGGAAATGTTACCTGGGCCAGTCTTTTGATTGAAAATGGGAAAGGGGCTAGTTTCTTTTATTTGTGTAGGTGTGGCTTCTTTATAGATGCCTCTTAAACAACCAATTGGGATTCCAGATATTATCTATTGATAGTGACGGTGACTGATACCTGATGATCTCAAATTACCAACTTTTTTTGTAGTTCCCCTTAATAAGAGCTGTGAAGATTTTTTTCTTTTTTATTCTTGCATCTTCGCAATACATGTTATTTTTTTCCCTCTCCTTTCAAGGATGGTTGAACATTCCCATGGTGTCCACATAAACATGAAACTTTCAGCCATTCTGGAAATTGTTACTATAGAGGAGCCAGACTGGACGAGATCTGTTTTCTTTCTGATTGTTATGCTTCTGTTAGGATATGTTTGTTTTAATGTCAGAAGGTGAAAATAATTTTCTTTTCAATAGAGCACATTCACAACGGGGGACAAATTTCTGATTCTCTAACTTCTAGTTTACAATGCAAGTACCCTGCTGTTTAAACAGTTCTTACTTGGACTAATTTACTGCTCTTATCTATCCTCAAATTAAGATGTTTCCTCTTCATGTTAGAATATGTTTTTCTTTATCACAAGACTGAAGAGGGAATTCTATTCCAACCAAAACAACACAGAGAATATCTCCCCGAGGATTAATTATTTTCATAAATTGGTTTATCTGAAAGCACTCCACGATGACCCTTCCTAGCAAATTCTTACTTTGCCGTGGTTCCATGCCAATATATATGCAGTTATGCTGTGAGGGACATGGCAAAAAGATCATTTAGTGCATTTCATGTTTGTGTTCAAGATGGTAAATATTTAGGACGAAAAACAAAAGTAAAGCAGATTGGATAACACAGTGTTGTACCAGGTGGACTAGCAAACTGTTAGGGACGTGGGATGAATTGAAATGCATAATAAACCTGCTAGGAGAAGAATGACCCAGTGTAATTATCTATTCATACTGCAAGCGAAGGGGGAGTAGGAGGCTGGATGCTTGAGAGTCACGCTTCTGTGTGTTACACTGACAGTTGCACGATGTTTTAAAGGGTAATGCATTCATCCTAATATTGTCTCTTTTGTTTTTGGCAGCCCCTCAGATGTGGTTTAACTGAACATTTAGTCATCTTTACTACAATGACACAATTTGTGTCATCATTTCAAATCACAGATTGCAATTTCAACCTTCCCTTCAAGCTGCATTTTACTAAGAGAATGAAACCATATTAAAAAACATCACTTTGGATACTTGGATCATATTTTGGCTTGGTAGGGTCACTGCTGTGAATTTTGTTCACATTCTGTTCTGTGAACTTGATTTTTAGATTTGCCAACAAATTCCTTGAAACCACTAAACAATAACAATGACAGCTGTGATTGATTTTCTTAAAAGAGACAGTTCTGACAAGGGAATTTACTGTAATGCAAGGAAATTAATCGTTTTTATAAAAAGTGGGTCATCAGTCTTAGACAGTGGTTCCAAAGCCGGGGTCTAGGGTCCCCTGTGACTCATAAGAAATGCTTGACATTTAAAGCTGTATTTATAAAATGCAACCTGTGATATTTCTTTATACCATATTGTTAAAAAACAAAACAAAACAAAAAACTTCAAGCAGGAATACTGATGAGAATTAACATAAATTATGTCCCTAGATATTACCAGTAAGCTATTAGGTTGTGTAGCAATTAAACAAGTGCTTACTAGCTACAATAGAATATGATAGACACCTTTTAATGTGACCCTGCAAATGAAACGGAAATGGAGCATTGAGATTCACACCATGGTCAATAAAGATAACACAATAGAAGAATAGGATATTGTGCGGTAAGACCAATTTTGTAACATTAAAAGATGTTGTATCCAAATGAGTATAATAAAGGATAACATATGAATGGGTAAATAAGCAGGGTGACTTAAAGAACTGTTCAAAATGCCTGTGTATATTTATGCATAAAAAAGGAAACTGACTATTTACACATGTAAAGAGACTGTAATAACTTTAAAGATATACATGCTGATAGATTTGGTTGGAGCAGTGATATTAGTTCACCATGATGTATGAGATCTGATGAAGTTACTCTCAGAAATGTTCATTATTATGACAGATTTCAATTTAGTATCTGTTTTGTGTGAAGGCTAGGTGCTGGACCCAAAATGCAGACAGCCAGGCTAGGAGAAAGGTGCAAAGTTTATTCTTTGGTTCACAGGCTGACAGTGAAGGAAGGTGTCTCTGGAAGCAGTGGCAGTTGGAGGTGGCAGGCAAGCTCTCAGCAGCAGTTAGAGTTGAGGGAGGTGGGTGGTGTGGCTTGGTAGCTGGAGACAGATCAGGAGCTGGATCCTGGGTAGACAGAGCACAGGTAAGATTAATTCTTCCTATTTCAAAAAATCAGAAGAGATAATTTCCACAAGGGAGAGAAGTTGGCACATCTACCAACAAACGGTGACCATCAGGCAGTGAGCACACAGGTGGCCAGGCTTCAAATACTGCTCCAGAAGAAGATTAGTCTCAGCTGTGTGCAGCCAGCAACTCCCAAGCCACACCTATTAGAGAGGGAGAGAGAGGGGGAGAGGGGACTACCTAAACTGCACATTAACAGGCTCAGACACCACAGTACCCCCCCCTTAAATGACGCCTCCAGGCGTCTTTCCAGGCTTGTCAGGAAACTCCCGGTAGAAGTCATCCAACAACTGCCGACTGAGAATGAGCCGACGGGAAATCCAAGATCGCTCCTCCAGACCGTACCCCTCCCAGTCCACGAGGTACTGAAAACCATGTCCCCGACGCCTCACATCCAAGATCTTCCGCACAATGAAGGAAGGATGGCCATCAATGGACAGGGCGGGAGGCGGGGGTTCGGCCGGAGGGCTAAGGGGACTGAAGGACACAGGCTTTAGCAGAGAAACATGGAAGGTAGGGTGAACCCTTATAGAGTCCGGCAATTTCAATCTAACAGCAGATGGATTGATAACTTTCTCCACCTCAAATGGGCCGATGTAACGGGGGGCGAGCTTCCGTGACTCCACCTGTAGAGGGAGGTCCCGTGTAGACAACCATACCTTCTGACCAGGTTGGTACAGGGGGGCAGGGGAACGATGTCTATCTGCTAGTACCTTGTTGCGTTGGGCAGAACGAGAGAGGGCTGCTCGGGTGGCCTTCCATACTGCTTGAACTCTGCGAAGATGGGCTCGAACAGAAGGCACTGCAACATTACGTTCCTGGGTGGGGAACAGAGGAGGCTGATAGCCATTAGCGGCCATGAATGGGGACATACCTGTGGCAGAGCTGACTAGGGAGTTGTGGGCATATTCTGATTAGCACGCTCCGTCTGGCCGTTGGATTGTGGGTGGTACCCAGATGACAAACTTGAGGAAGCACCAATGGCTTGGCAAAAGGACCGCCACACTTGAGAGGAAAACTGAGGGCCTCTGTCAGAAACTATATCCACAGGAATCCCATGAATCCTAAAAACATGTGACACAAGGAGGTCTGCCGTCTCAAGGGCAGTGGGTAACTTGGCGAGAGGGACAAAATGAACAGACTTCGAGAAACGGTCAACAATAGTGAGGATGACAGTGTTACCTCTAGAAGGTGGTTGACCAGTGATGAAATCCACAGCTATGTGTGACCATGGGCGGCCAGGTACAGGGAGAGGCTGTAGGAGACCAGCAGGTGGAAGGTGAGAAGCCTTACTTCGGGCGCAGACGGTACAGGCAGCCACAAACTCTCTTGTGTCCCGAGTCATGCCTGGCCACCAGAAACTTTGCTGGAGGAACAGAAGGGTACGTCGAAAACCAGGATGGCAGGTGAGTGTGGAGGCATGCCCCCACTGCAACACTTGGGAACGAGCCGTTTCAGGGACAAACAAGCGATTAGCTGGGCCACCGCCAGGATCAGGCGAGGTTTGTTGAGCTGCCCGAATTATAGACTCAATCTCCCACTGTGCAGCTCCCACAAAACAGGAGGGCGGCAGGATGGGCACAGGCTCAGAAGAAGTTGAATCAGGGGAAAACTGACGTGAGAGAGCATCAGCTTTGGTGTTTCGGGAGCCTGGGCGGTATGAGAGCGTGAAGTTGAAGCGGCTAAGGAACAGGGACCATCGAGCCTGCCGAGAATTTAGGCGTTTTGCAGAATGAAGATAAGCCAGATTTTTATGATCAGTCCAGATGAGGAATGGGTGTTTGGATCCTTCCAACCAGTGTCTCCACTCCTGTAAGGCTAACACTATAGCCAACAGCTCGCGATTCCCAACATCATAGTTCTGTTCTGCTGCAGAGAGTCGCTTGGAGAAGAAGGCACAGGGGTGAAGCTTGTTAGTCTCTGGATGGCGCTGAGAGAGGACAGCCCCCACCCCCGACTCAGATGCATCCACCTCTAGCACAAACTGTCTGGAAGAGTCAGGGTGGAGGAGCACAGGAGCACAGGTAAACAGGCACTTCAGTCTCTGAAAGGCATGCTCGGCCTCAGCTGACCAAGAGAATGGAATCTTAGGGGAAGTGAGTCTGGTAAGAGGGGTAGCTACTTTGCTATAGTCCCGAATGAACCTGCGATAGAAGTTAGCAAACCCCAGGAAGCGCTGCAGTTGTTTGCGTGAGGTGGGGGCAGGCCACTCTGCCACAGCTCTTATCTTAACTGGGTCTGGCTGAAGTTGACCCTTGGCAACAATGTACCCCAGGAAACTGACTGATGACTGGTGGAATACACATTTCTCTGGCTTAACAAATAACTTGTTCTCTAGGAGGCGCTGCAGTACTAGGCGAACGTGCTGGATGTGCTCCTCTAGTGAACGTGAAAAGATTAAAATGTCATCCAGGTACACATAGACGAACTGAGTTAGCATGTCTCGGAGAACATCATTAATGAGGGCTTGGAAGACAGCAGGTGCATTGGTAAGACCAAAGGGCATCACCAGATATTCAAAATGGCCTAAAGGGGTGTTAAATGCTGTCTTCCACTCATCTCCCTCACGTATACGCACTAAATGGTATGCGTTGCGGAGGTCGAGCTTAGAAAAGATTTGGGCATGACATAGAGGCTCAAAAGAGGGATCAATAAGGGGCAGAGGATATTTATTCTTCACAGTTATGTCATTCAGTCCTCTGTAATCTATACAGGGGCGAAGGGTTTTGTCCTTCTTCTCAACAAAGAAAAATCCAGCACCTAACGGGGAAGAAGAAGGACGGATAAGGCCTGCTGCTAGCGAGGAGTTAATGTACTGCTCCATGACCTCTTTCTCAGACCGGGAAAGGTTATACAGACGGCTGACAGGATATTTGGCACCAGGGAGGAGGTCGATAGCACAATCATATGGTCTATGGGGTGGAAGGGAAAGAGCGAGATCTTTACTAAAGACTGCAGCAAGGTCATGATAAACTAAGGGGACACTGGAAACATTGGGGGGTTCATGTGGCTGAGACTGTAGTGTGCTAGAGGTGGGAAAAGCCGCATGGAGGCAGTAAGAGTGGCAGTGTACACTCCAACTGATGATGGAGGAAGTCTGCCAGTCTATATGGGGATTATGAAGTTTTAACCAAGGGAGCCCTAAGACCACAGGGGAAACAGGGGAGGGGAGCACATTCAACTGAATCTTTTCCCGGTGGTTGCCAGAAATAACTAGGGAAATGGGTTTAGTTCGATGAGTTATGGAGGCCAAGTGTCTGCCATCTAGCGCATTAGCATTCAAGGGTTTCTCGAGAGGGATTTGCAGCTGATTTACCAGCTCAATATCAATAAAATTGTCGTCTGCTCCTGAGTCCACTAGAGCTAGACAGGGTAGAGTTACCCCTGCACTGGTAAGAGATGCAGACACATTAATACGAGTTGGAGAGCTAGGTTTTGAAAAAGTCTGGCTCACCAGGGAACTCTCCCTTACTGATGAGCCCGGTCTTTTGGGGTGTGAGGGCAGGTAACAATGAAATGACCAGTCTGGCCACAGTAAAGGCAGAGTTTAGATTGCATTCGCCGTTGGCGTTCCTCAGGGGTTAAACGAGCCCGCCCAACCTGCATGGGCTCCTCTCCTGAGCCAGACAAAGAACTATTGGAACTCGGAGGGTTAACTGGCGGACTAGAACGAGGCACAGCTTGGGAAAGGGAGAGAGGAAAAGCGGCAGCTACTCGAGCCTTGTCAGTCCTTTCTCTAGTCCTCTCCCTCAGACGGTTGTCTATACGTATTGCCAGTGAGATTAACTCATCTAATGAGCTAGGCTCTTCATGGGAAACTAACCCATCCTTAATCTGGTCAGAGAGACCATTTACAAACACAGCTCTCAACGCCCTGAAGTCCCACCCACTTTCAGCGGCTAGTATACGAAAATCTATCGAAAAGCTAGCTACTGAGGAAGTCCCCTGACGTAGGCTTAACAACCTCTTTTCGACCTCCCGACCCTTAATAGGATGGTCAAAAACACGGCGTAGCTCAGAGGTAAAATCTTCATAAGACTGAAGAGCCCCTGACTCCCCTTCCCATAAAGCAGTCGCCCATTGACTAGCCTTACCTCTAAGTAGATTGATAACATAGGCAATTCTAGAGCGATCATCAGGATAGCTGGATGGCTGCAGATCAAAAACCAGGGAACACTGTAACAGGAAACGACTACAGGAACCAAAATCACCTGAGTAATTCTCTGGGGGTGGAACAAAAGGTTCTCTAGCCATAGGTGGGGGGTGTGCTTGAGCCTGAGAAGGAGGATTACTCACTGCTGCTGGGGTTTCAGGTGGAGTTTGAGTGGGAAGCCGAGAGGCAATGTGAGCTACCTTGTGACTCAGATCCTGCAGAATGCTCATGGCTTCTGTAAGTAGCTGGTCATGCTTTCCAATTAAGATTCCTTGGTTGGAGAGGGCCTTCCGGAATTCTTCTGGGTCTGCTGGGTCCATGGTGTGGCCTGATGGTACTGTGAAGGCTAGGTGCTGGACCCAAAATGCAGACAGCCAGGCTAGGAGAAAGGTGCAAAGTTTATTCTTTGGTTCACAGGCTGAAAGTGAAGGAAGGTGTCTCTGGAAGCAGTGGCAGTTGGAGGTGGCAGGCAAGCTCTCAGCAGCAGTTAGAGTTGAGGGAGGTGGGTGGTGTGGCTTGGTAGCTGGAGACAGATCAGGAGCTGGATCCTGGGTAGACAGAGCACAGGTAAGATTAATTCTTCCTATTTCAAAAAATCAGAAGAGATAATTTCCACAAGGGAGAGAAGTTGGCACATCTACCAACAAACGGTGACCATCAGGCAGTGAGCACACAGGTGGCCAGGCTTCAAATACTGCTCCAGAAGAAGATTAGTCTCAGCTGTGTGCAGCCAGCAACTCCCAAGCCACACCTATTAGAGAGGGAGAGAGAGGGGGAGAGGGGACTACCTAAACTGCACATTAACAGGCTCAGACACCACATTTTGTTTATTTAACACATTATTTCATGACCCTAGCATCTCTAAAAAACTTGTTTAAAATTACTATCAATTTAAAATAACTATAATACTAATTATAACCTGTTTACAGTTGATGAAAATGGCCATATAGAAAAAAATGTTTTTACCCTCCTGATATTTTTTTATTTTTAAGATCATATTTTTCTTCTTTACTTTGACATTTTGACAGTCACTACTTTAATATTTAGCTTTCTCCACAGATTGTCACAAAGTTAGGACTCTGACCTCAATGTTACTTGTAGAGAGAATATTTTTTTGGTAAAATAAAATTATTACCCCTGTTAATACCCCTGTTTGCAGCTTGATATAGGTGTCAAGCAGCAAAGAACAAATACTTCCCGACCTTACTCAAGTCGAAATGTTGCCTATCTACTCTATACATTTTGCACAACTTTTTATTTCTTCTCCTTACAGTTTTGTTATGGTCTGTGGGTACTTGAAAAAATAAAACCCAACAACATTTTTTGTTTCATCCAGACATTTCATTTCTCTGTGTTTGGAGCTGGTGCTGCACCAGCTTGTTGTTCATCACATACCTCAATACAAAGTTTTTCAAGATGATGCAAAGTTAAATTTGACACTGTTGCCATTTTTTTTTTTTTTTATAAAACTAAGAAACTTAAGTCTAAGGAAGTTTTCATCCAGAATTGTAGAAAATGTTTTCCTTTTTCTCTGCATTATTTTTACATTTATACTTTAACTAGTTTAAAAAATTGTACCTTTACACTTTTACTTGAATAAACAGCCTAAGTTGATACTCTAACTTCAACAAAAGTGTTTTTAAACAGTAGGATTTAAACTTCTACTTGAGTAATAAAAATTAATACTTTCGACACACTGTTAAATAATGC